AGAGAGAGAGAGAGAGAGAGAGAGAGAGAGAGAGAGAGAGGGGAAGAGAGAGAGAGGAGCGCACTTTCCAGAAAATCTTGAGGTCTTCCTGCTCTCTGGAGAGTCGTCTCTTAAAGCAACCGAGTTCTCGATAGATGTGGAATCGATTCAATTTCATTTCATATGGAATCTCGATGTGAAAATGCGACTGGGGCGGCGCCCGCTAATCACACATTTTTATTGCTCGTCGTTGCGCTCTAATTAAAATTGAAAGTAAAATTCTGATGGAGTTTGTGAGAAATTAATCAAAGGATATCATATATCTCCCTCCTATATTATTATAAGCGAACTAAAATTAACGACATATCGATGCTCTCACTTCTCCTCACTCTCTCCGTAATTCTTTCTCTCTTTCTCTCTTTCTCTCTTTCTATCCTCCAATAGTCACGCATCGCTCGTTATCACACGCGTGGTTCTTCCACTGGAAGGAGATAGTCGAAGGACCCTTTAATTCCGGACTTTTCGGCCTCCGGAATAAAAAGTCCCGATTATCCTTTGTTTTTTTTCGTCGGAGGAGTTCGACCGCGCCGTTATCCCATCGGGGGAGATCGCGAAAAGTTCTTAGAGACCGACGCCGTTTCTTCGAAGGGATCACCGGCCGTGACCTGTCTCCCCGAGACGGCTCCAGGAACTTTGGAATTTTTCGTTACGGCCCCGGAGTTGCAAGCTCGCCGGCTTACATGTATATCCTTGGCCCTTTCTCCGTTTATCCGGCATCCTTCAACTTTATCCCGCCTTTTATTTTTGCGCCGTTTGTCCGTCTCGTGTCCGTGAGAAGCGCGCGATACGTGGAAGGCATCTCGAAGGGACGTATGAGCGACTTAAAGAAAGACGAATCAGGGATTAGCAGGGGGAGTCGCTTGGCGAAGCTACGGATTCTTCATCATCGGGAACGGGCATTGCCTCTGCGACACTATTTCAATTTCGTCGCGTGCATACGCGTTATTAGATATGTATACACACTTATGTCGGAAAGAAGATAAATAACGAGTTAAAGATCGTCGTGTTATCGCAATCTCGTGAAGAAGAAAGAGAGAAAGAAGTTCCAACGTCGATGTCTTTTATCTCGCAGATGATAAGCGCTCCTCTCTCCTTCAGTCTCGGCTGCCTTCTCGTCGCCTTCGTCAAGGGTGAGCGGTCTTCACGATGAAGAGCGGAAAATGAGCGAAACCGGAAGACGAAGCGACACAGAGAGAGAACGTGAAGCAGGGTGAAGGAAGCCGCCGTGCTTCGCGGCGAAGATGAGATCGGAAGCCGCTCTCTACCTGCTCTCCCTGCTGATCCTGCCACTTGATGATCCTTCGTGGGCTTCCGCCGACATCAGAGGTGTGTGCCGACGACTTACATTTCTGTGTTAATTAGCGCACTATTGACGAGACGAGTTGATCAGGCTCGGATGAGCGTATTTATTACCGCCTCTCGACGAGCAGGCGGATGCTGTCGGGGAAGCGCATTATTTCGGCAATCGATATCGTGCTTATTCTCGCGAATCTCTCCATTCGAATCGTTGATGACTCGCGGATAATTTGATTGAAGACAGTCCGGATGGAAGCTTCGACGAGGACGAGATCGCGTAGCTTAATGAAGCACGGGACTCGCGCAGAGGAGGGTAAAACTCCATCGGGAAAGGCTGCTAATCTGCCTCGTAACGGAACAACACTCGCGTAGAATTGCGTAGGGCTACGTTGTTCAACGATAAAATCGCCAACGAGTTTCGTGTCGAGCGAGCGGAATTAAACGCGCGGGACTGAAGTCAAACTCGTGAAATAGCGCGAACACAACGCGTACGTCGCGCTGTTACGGCGATAATAAAATCAAGCCGAGCGCCTCAAGAGACGTGGCACGTTTCTTATCCGGTGCAAGAGCACTTTCCCATAAGATGAAGATCCCGGACATGTATCTAATCCTGGGCATTCTTATTGTTTTGGTCCTTAAATACGAATATTTACTTACTTATATAACTTTCAGCATAGAATATATTTAGTATTTATACTCAGTATTTGTATAGTATTTTATGTTGAAAGCTTCTTTATATCTAAAGACCAAAACAGAGTGTCCAGGATTAGATACATGTTCGGGCGTTGGTGCTTTTACTTTACCCGATAATAAAATGAGAGCAAGTGCCCCGCGCAACGTTGCTCTTGTCATGTAACACTGATACAATTGAAGGAGTCGCGAGTTTATGACTATTCATACCCATCGTAACGAGAAAATTGTTATACGTGCGAAAGCGACCAACCGAGGATACTCGATGTAATTAATCGTATGCGTTGTCACGTCGCCTGATACGTATGGCCCGCAGTTGTCGTCTATTAGACGGTAGATGTTGAACATACATATACTCGCAATGTCGTAATTCTAATATTCAAGCCTGATTGATTTGCGTGTAATATAAAAGTGATGTAGCGAAATATATCCAAATTAGTTGCATACACTGAGAGAGGAAATATCTAGGAAATAAAAAATATTGAGTACTGATACACACACAAACTTATTCGATGAATACTGATAATACATTTACTTATACTGACATGAAATATTTTTCAAACGAGAAAATACACATTTTCTTGGGATCTCAACTTTTCATGAAAGCTTTTCATAAAAGCTTTTCATTTATTTCAAATTGTTTATTCCGTTTAAAGAAAAGAATTTAGATTCAGTAAATTAAGTAAACATGTCATTAGTACGTCCCAATATTTCTTACTTTTTAGATATTTTTTCTCAGTATAAGGGTTTAAGAAAATAAAATTCAAGAATAAAGCTAAAGATCTTCGTTTGGGAATTGATAGAGAATTAAGAATAAATTGAACGCAACGTTATATTCTGTTGATCATTAATTTTCGCTCAGGAGGCGAGTCGATAAGATGAAAATTAATAATAATAAGTGGAATGTAACGTGCGTCACGTCGGTCTCTCGCGAGAGAACACTTTCACAGTTTGCAAGATAAACTTCCGTCTTGATCGAGCAAAATGTGAGTTGGAAAAGAGCGGCGAGAGGTATATATACAGGTACATTGCCGAACGACGTCGATCGGCCAATCGAATCATCGCAATTGCACGTACGTTTGCGGTATCCGCGATACGCACACGCACTTACGCACGCACAACAAGATTGTGAGATGATAAATATAACTGAGTCGAGAAGCGGGAGCGGCACGGTGCGGCACAAGGAGACGAGAGACACAGCATTGGCAAACGGCGCTTCATTTCAGTGAGATTGCCAACATCAATGGCAATTAATTAGCCGGTAAACTCTGAGTAATTTCATTAGACTGCGCGCAGTCGAGGGTCGTTGAATAAATAAGGTCGTGTTTTCATCGGGAATACCGTCGGCGTTCCCGTAACGATTTCTCGCAATGTCTTGTCCTTTACTGCGAAATAATTTCAGCGAGATCGATGCCGAGATCGAGTTGCCCCCAAGGGGCTTTTACGGAAGGGCTGCGGATGAGGGTGGCGCCGAACGGAAGACCATCGCGATAGCTGGACGTTAATGTGAATTTCATCTTATCAAAATATTATCCATCTCTCTTCCTCACTTCCTCTCTTCCTCACTCCCTCTCTCCCTCTCTCCCTCTCTTCCTCTCTTCCACCGCGCTGTGTTATTTATGCGTATTACTTTGGCTTCGTTAGGATAGAGGGAAATAAGGGATGTAATTATATAACTGACGCACACATGCGCGCGCATCACACACGCACATATTTATACATACGTATGCGTATCGCGTTTCGCACATGTACACGTTTACTGTTTTTCGAGCAAACTGACTGATTGAAATGAAAGTTTTCTCATTATTACTCTGTTTGTGTATTACGTGAGTTTCATTTTAAATGTGAGTTACGCGCGCTGCGGTGTACTCCGTTTTTCCCATTTAAACGACACGCCCTTCGTATTATTCGCAGGATGCAATCGCACCATCAGAAATTCGGTCGGTTGGATACGCTGGACGGGACGAATGGGTCGATGCATCGTGCGAATCAGGGCACCGCTCAGGGATCCGCAGGTTAACGTCTATCGATTACCTTCTTGTACCGATGAATTCTATAAAAAATATAAAAAGAGGTCAAGGAAGAAGGAAGTGGGAAAGCACGATGTAAGGTCTGGAATAAGAGATTGTAATACTTGGCTATTTCTCTGCAGGTGATCGAGGTGAAAGTTAGAAGATTGCAGGTAGGCTTTTTGAAAGAGGCCCGATGCGAGGGAGCGTATTTTCAGTTCTCAGACAGCCTGGGCGATTCTGACGACGAGACGGGTCGATATTGTGGTCATGTGACTGGAAATACCACAAGGCATGTATCTTTTAATAGACGGTGTAACTGGTTGATTGGTTTTTTAGATCACAGTTATTAAAATTTCATCTATTTTCCACCTGGCAGGCTATTTCTGCGACGTGGTCCTGATCTCACGATCACTCTATCCTCGGATGAGCAGTTCGCCTCGAAAAACCCGGTCATCTTTTCCGCCCAATTCTCCATCCTGCCGGTGCGCTTGGCGGTGGAGCGTCACCGCGGCTACTCCGCGTCCTCGTCACCCACATGTCTTGTCGAATGTACAATGCGCAATGAGCGGCGCTCCTGCAGATTGACCTCGCCGGGTTATCCCAGTGTGTATCCACGCGGGATTAGGTGAGCGATCTTCTCCGAGTCAAGTGTCAAAGGTGGAATCACGCGAGTCACTAATATAAGACGAGGCGAGGTTGACATCCGAATCGCGGTTTAGATCTCGGGGCAAGTTGGCATACTTCTCAGAATCTCAGTGTTAGAATTGTTCAGATAACTTATTGTTATGTCTACGTATGAATTGATTGTACAAAGATGATACGCGCGGAAAGAATTGCATAATGAAAATTGCTTTGGAATTCTACAATCGAGAAACATATCGAATATTTTGAACATATCGATATATCTTAATTTATTATTCTTCCGTTTCATATGTGCTTTCACTTCAAAAACTAAGGTCTATTATTTGCTATGTTTCTCATCAAAGTTTCTTTCATATGATAAAATCTATTGTCTCTATTCCTGCACCGTTAAAAATCACGATAAAGTCGAAGAGAATTTATACGAGAAAAAGCGATAATTTTACGACTTACGTATTCAGTATTTCTTTCTCCACAATAAATAAAATGCACAGCTAACTTGCCCGTTGCATCAGACCATCTCAGTTTTAAATATCTCCTCTGTTTTAAATATCTCCACCGAATTACAGTTCGCGACCGCGACTGGAATATTGAATATTGAACGGCCGATTGTTTCCGGATTTCCAGATGCAGAATCGCTCTCGAGTCGAGCGCCGGTCGCTTCAGAATAGGCGGTCAACCGGAAGACCTGTTCGACTTAATGAACTACACCGACCAAGAGGGCTGTCAGATAGAGAACTGCGAGGACTCGCTTGAGCCTAAGGGTCAAACGTCCTCGACCGAAAGAGTCGCGAGGGATCGGGATCGCGTCGAAGCGAGGGATGAATCTGTTATCGGAATCGAGGACAATTGGCCGAGGAACAACAATGGCCAGATTCCCGCGACGCAGTTGAGAAGCGAGGAAACGAGCGAACGATTAATGAAGCAGAGACATTACGTGAAGAAGGCGGCACGGCGTAGGGGAAAGCAATACCGCAAAGAGCCGCCGAATAAATTTGACGCGGGCGAGTCGCGGCACGAGCCGAAGCTTAAATCGATGCGCTCGAAAATTACGAGGAAGGACCAGCGGAGGGTTCCGCCGAGCCGTTATCTCAGTGGCGACTTTGGAAGGCGGGATGAAACGTTCGCTAGTGCGATGGTACGTAAGTTGTTCAAGTAGATATAAGATATAAGTGGATTAGAGCGAATCTACGCTCTTGCACTCACAGAATGTGAGATAAATACATCTCTTTAAATAGAGATACGGTAGTTATAATTATGATCGTAGTTATCGCTGTCGTTGGTATCTCGTGAGCATTATTCAGATTATTGTTACATAGCTAACGCGTTCCATAGTTCACTGGGGAAGGAATGCCTCTCTACAGATCAGTATTTATTTTTCATATAATTGTGCAAAACAGATTTAGAATGCACAGAGAAAGAGAGAATATTTAGGAAATAAAAGATATTTATTCTATGGACACTATAATAATGTTTTTACTTGTATTAATATGTATATAAAATATTTCTTTTTAATAAGAAAATATACATATTCTTAAAACCTTAGCTTTTCAGAGAGCGATTGTTTATTCTATTTAAATAAAAGAATTTAGGTTTATAAATAAATATGTTGTTATAGTGCATCCATCGAATAAATATTTTTTTTTTATTTTTTACACATTTTTTCTCTCAGTGCGTGAAAACATAACTGTAGTGGAAAGCTGTAGCAGAAAGCTATAACTTCAGTTGTAGAGAATAATAGCTGTAGTATATAATAAAACTATAACTGTCACACGTATGCGACGCTACTAGTGTTAAAGTCGTTGAGATTACTGATTTAATTGAGATTATTGACTTTAATTGATATTTCTAAGAGTTAAGGAATACGTGTTCCATTAGTTTCTAATTGATGTATTCCCCACAAGGTGCCGGAGCAGAAATACCTCAATGAAAGTCGTTCGTCGATAAACGTCACGTGTGACGGCGACTATCTCGCGCTATTGGAAAACGTGAACGGCAAGGTGTTCGAGATTCAGAAGTTTTGCGGCGTCGGTCGAGTGCCGCGTATCTTCTCGCGCGGGAAGAACGTGATACTGGAATTTTTCTCTCGGCAAGACGGCACGGTGATGCACGACGGCTTTCAAGTGACTCTGCTGGAGGAACGGGTCTCAGAAGCGAGACACGCGAATTGCGAATTCGTGTACAGGAGTTCGGAGCGGATCAGAGAGAACATTAAATCCCTACGGAGCTGGTATCCGCCCAATACTGTGTGTACTTACAAGTTCCTCGGCAGAATCATGGAGAAGGTGTCTATTCATATAAAAATCCTCAGAAACGAATTCATGCAGGAGAAACCGACTGATATTAGGCGGAACTTCAGCCTGAATTATTGTCCCGGCAACGAGATCGCTGTTTATAATGGCGCGCAGGTAATTAACTCGACTATTTCGATCGATTCTGTTACGCTTTAAAGCTCCTGGCTTCTCGCCGCGGCTGTCTTAATTCATGACGTCAGAAGAACGAGAAAATACACACGTTACAGATTCTTGCAAATTCTTGCACATTGAAATAAAATTGTATGTTCACCAAAAGATACTTGCGCTCGATCGAGCAAATTTGTAAAAATAGTCCGCACTTTTTCCTTTTACTCTAAGAATCAATAAATGGCTGTAAATTTAACATAACAAAATCATAAGAGAAGATAGGTTGAAGAGGAAGGTCACATGTCACATTAATTTTATAATTATTTACTGATGGGTCAAACAAAAGGAAAGTGTTAGCAGGCTATTTAACAAGTCTACTTGATTGATTACAAGTGTCATTCTATGGATATCTTTTCATTTCAATGTATTTTGTAAGAATTTTTAGCGTGTATTTTCTCGCTTCTGACGTCATCAAACCATTTCGGTTTTAATCGACGAGTAATTGATAAGTAGCAAAAGAGAGGGAGAGAGAGGAAGAAAGAAAGAAAATGCTTATAAAATCGACGATAATTCACAGGTAAACGGCAGCTTCTTGATGTGGTCCTACTGCGACGCGTCTCATTGGGACATCAACAATATTCAAGTACCTTTGACGTCTAGCGGAAACGAATTATTGATCCAGTACTACAGCGCCAAAGGGTCCTACGATGGTCAGGGATTCACCTACGCTATATCCTACAGATTCGTCAGGAAGGAGCAGAATGTCACCACGAAACGTGCCCACGGTAAATACAAGTCGATCTCTCTGCGACCAGTCAACCTGTCGGTTCTGAATCTCAACGACACCGACAACTGCAACTGCAACTTCGACAACAGAATGGGCACCTTTAAGAATTGGTTCGTGGTACTGGTGATCCTCGGTATTGTGTCCTTCTTGGGGGCGATCGTCACGATAGTCGCCCTGATCGCAAAATTTTTGAAGATCAGATCCTCCGAAAAGAAACTCTTGCAAAATGCAAAACAATAAAGCTAGCACACTCTGCCTTCGGCAACTCTCTCGTCGTTATGACAATGGAATTGAAAACAGCAAAACGATCTCAGGGTTTCATTCGAGACGAGAGGAACGAGTACTCTGGCGTGGCAACGATTTGCGACATGCAAAAAAAAACAGGTAAAAATAAAACGAGGTCCCACCGAGACTTGAACTCGGATCGCTGGATTCAGAGTCCAGAGTGCTAACCATTACACCATGGGACCTTGACGATTTTTCTATGAAACATTCGAGGACACATTGAAATGCGCGAACGATACGCGAGGTGTTGGAGAGACCCAGGTAAAACACAAAATCATTTTAATATCAAGACGATATCATTTTGACATCATTATCATAAAATTATCATGAAAATGGTATCGTTTGACATCAAAATGACGTCACTTTTATATCATTTGACGTCATTTTGACTTTTATATGACTGTGTTCTACCTGGGAAATTGTGTATACGATTGCGTCGCCAAATCTCATGATGGAGATCGATTTTGATATAAAGATCAATATGATGATTTAACATCATTTCGACATATCGTGACAAAAGTCTCATCCTTTCTAAATGAAAAATAATGTATATATGCAACCATGTATACCTTAGGATTAAATTTTTATACGTAATACACGAAATAATAAATTCCGCAATAAAGTACACGTAAAATAAGGATTTGATGATGAAATTATTGTAATCAATAATATTAATAATTGATGCTAAACGTAATACTCACCCTTTCAATACTCCTATGCTTTTAATTACTATCGATTATTTTAAAACTAATAAAAGTAACGATTCTAATCGGTCATATTTTACGTGGTCTAATCGCGTAATAGTTCTCCCACCACGTCATCAGATGGCGCCAGGCAGCTCATTAGTCGCGCAAATCTTCATTGTCTAGTAGCGTATCTTAACAACTGGCTGTAAAAATTATTCATCTTTAGAAACACGACCGAACAAAGTGGATAGGATAAACCTTTGTCTTTCTTTATCAACGAGAAATACGAATTCCTGTGATCTGACGATTAATTGAATACTCATCACTGCGAAGTGGAAGTTCCAACAGGACAGACTTCGAGGTAATACAAAGGAAGCATGTATGTGTGTATGTACCTAATAAAGGAAAATTTTCTTTCCTAAGAAGCATAAAAAATTATCTTCTATGACCCTTATATTGAATTTTCTTTTATCTCAGTAAAAAAGTCTTCAAATGTGACTTGTAAGCCTTCTAATTGCCTTTCAGTCACATTTAAAAACATTTTTATCCATAAAAGAGGCTTCATAGTAAGAGCCTATAAGATTTATTAAAAACAAATTTTTTTCTCTTATTGCCCTGACGGTACAAACTACTAAAAGATGTCTTAAGGATGTCCAAAATATGCCTTCAAGATATCTTTTAGTAGTTTGCACTGTGCTGAGTGGATGTACGATTATGTTGCGAAAAGTGTCGTAACCTTTCTGTCACTTGTAGTCTGTTTGTAACTGAACTGTCTGCACTAGCTTGTACTTGTTCTCTTTCTCTTTTTTCACACCAAGCCACAGTTATCTATCTATAAGAAGTATATCTATCTCCTTTTAAATTGCGAAGGTGCACTAGTTCAGCTACAAAGAACAAACTTATTGATTACATGTAATTCATGCTGACGCCACATATGTATGTGTGTATGTGTGTCTAGGAAGTTTATTCATGAGATTTGTTACATTTAATTAAAAAGTTATTTACACATACGTATATGTAAACAACCACCCACACCGCGCGCAAAGGCTAATCGCATTTGAACGTATCGAGAAGATAATCGATCCTTGATCCAGAGAGAATCGAGCATCGATTCATCGATCGCGCTTCACCCATCTCTAAAGTCGCACTTTTACCGTAGGTGCACTACGGTCGTCGTGAACGCAAGGCTATTTCACGCGAGACACGAGACGACGAAGATGGCCGGTTCAGGAAACGGTTGTAGTGCCGGCACATTTTTGCAGAAGCTCGGTCTGCGGCCTGTCACGAAATGCAGCCTCGCAAAATTCTACGCGCCGGCATTCGGAGCGGTCTCTTACACCGCGATGTCCATCGATGTCATGAATCCTAGTCTCGTCAAGTGAGTAGTCACGACAGAGTTTCTCCCGTTAACACACAGTGGATCTGTATGCAGATATTAACCTTCAATGATGTCTCCAGTGACTGAATTCTTACGTAACTCCGCGAGCGGAAGATTTTTCATGTTGTAGGTTGTAGGTTAGGAGACTGAGCTATTACCATAATCTTCACACGATTAAATAGACTTTGTATCTTTGTTTCCGATCGATGATATTTCTGTTCTCTGGCACGATGCAAAGAGATATAAATAATATGTATAAAGACCAAGGATACAAAGTTTCGAAAAGATTCGTGTGTCTGTAAGGATTCAGTTGCAAGAGAGACAAGTTGAAATTTTCATGCCATCTGATGCAACTTAATTGTATTGTTGGTAATATGTAATTCGTGGAGATAGAGAAGAACAAAGAAATAATTCTGATTTTCTATTTAGAGTATTTCAAACAAAGAATGTTACGAATTTCTTACTGGCCAGTACCTTGTTTGGCGTTGGATCATATATTTACACACGTGAGCACATGAAGAGCGCACCAAACCATATGAGAATCCTATACAGGTGAGAATTCTTATATCAGTAGAGTATGTACCTATAAATACACATGAATAAGAATTCAGCAAAAGTTACTTCACCAATTCTTTTGAAATATAGAGTGCGAGAAAGATAGTTTAAATTGGTTTTCAGGAAAAACTAAGTGTGAGAGATGGTATTAATTATCAGAATATGACAAAATTTAATATTTTTTTGTTTATTTTCCTAGATATCACAAGCTATTGCAAAAAGTGTGAAAGTTAATATATACAATAAAAGATGTTATAAATGAATACACATATATGGACTTTGTATTATTTACAACATTAACTCATAATGTATTGCAAAAAAGCGTCAAAATTTAAAAATTTACCTTATATCTTGACAAGCAATGTTGTGAAGCTGCACTTGGTTTTTGCTAGGAACTACCTTTAGTTATTTACTCTACCATGTATCTCAAATTGTGATGATTCAGTGGAGTGTAACATTTCCTAAATATTTACCTGTTCCTAACAACATACCTTGATCTATTATGTATTGAATTTGTTGTTCAGTGGCACTGGTGCAGTATTGCTGAGCTTTGGATCGGTCTTAATATGGGCAGTACTTCGAGCCATAATACCACCGAATCCAGCCCTCTGCACAGTAGCTGGTGTCGGCACGGGACTGACGCTCATGAAAGTTAGTTCGAGCTATCTTCAGTTTGTGGATGGACAGATAGCTAAAAAGTAGGCTGCTTTACTATGTATTTGTTTTTCTTTGCTTCTGTTTCATTGTTTCTTTTTATACATTATGATCGAAACCACAACTACTGAATAACTTCACCGAAGAGAATCGTAACAGGGCAGAAGTCGTAACTTGCAAAACAAGATGAGATATAAATATCGTATTGATACATTTCATTCGATTCTTTTTCCTTTTTCGCGACAAGACATCTTTGAGAATGTATTATGTGTAACACAGTTAACGCTATGCCCGAATCAGTAATCTCGTATCTATGCATAAGATTTCTTGAGTACAAAACCACAGAAATATTAAGCAATCAATATAACAATCAAAACTTAAATTGTCATGTCGCGCAAAATTTGCTATCGAAGATTTTTGCATTGAAAATTGTTTTTTACCATTTTTGATGAATATTCTTAAACGTTCTGTCGTCTCGATATCGTTCACCACTCGTGCAACGTTGTTATTGGCACTTGATAAAAGTCCTTTATTACACCAGATAAAAAGTGCACGTTCTGAAAACTTAGACAAATCCACGATAGCGTCGGCGCGCTTAGGAAGCCGGAGGATACGTGCGTCGTATATTTTAAGCTGTTTTGTAAGCTGTATAGCATTCGTACAGGATGCCAGACCATGCGTCGTCATGTAGATAAACATCACAACCGTAAATATACACGTGCGAATCGTACAATTCGTACGGCACGGCAAAAGGAACAAAAAAAGCTGAAACATGAATTCCTTTACCTGTCCAACACATATCCGTCGACATCCATGTGTTTTATTTCCATTATTTGGAGAAAAGAAAACTGGAAACGTAAGAGTAGAGAGAGATAGAAAGTCAAGAATAAGCGAGACATCTCGTAGTGGAATGCGAACCACAGCTTGGTCCCCTTCTACCACTTTCCGCTTGTTACCGAGACGCGCGTTTGTTTCTTCAACCTATTATCGTTTATTTATGCGTACTGTTGCACCCTCGTGCGATTAAGGTAAATAGCGATTCAGATAAGAGGGACTTGTGCGAGCAGAGCAAAATAAACAGACGACTCGCTGCTGATACTTGACGCGAGCACCGGCTGATCTCGCCACCATTATAGTCGATTGCGGCGTATAATACAAGAGAATGACAACTTGCAGCGTCCATTATTGTACGTGCAATAATAGTGAAAGAAGAACCGAGGAAAGGGACAGTGGGACTTTCAGTTTTTTCTGAGTCGCGTACGTGCGACGCGCAACGTTTACGCTCGCCGACTGCATCCTGAAATTAGTCGCAATTAAGCGCGATTGATAGGAAGTCCGGACCTTGATGTCTTATCCTGTACACAACATTGTTGTCGATGCGTCGCCATAACCGCTGAAATTATACGATAATTTATCTCGTTGAGAGAGCGTACGTCGGGAGTCGGAAACATATCATAGAAGCCTTTATACACGGTGTCTTCCAGAACCACCCACGCGTCTTTTATTTGCAAGTAAGATACGTGCACTTTGAATGAGTATTTCCCTAATAAAAATTCCGAGGTATTGCCGATGAGTCGTAAAGCGACCGCGATTCGTCGTGATGAAATGAAACTTCGAAAATGCAAATTCATTTTGTATAACTCCAATGACGGATTTCATTTTAGCAAATTGCAATTCGAGAATCTGTCGAAATGCGCAGGAATGGATCGTAAATGACGATCATGGTATTTTCATCGAGGAGAAATGGAAGGAAAATCGATTGGAGAGAACTCTGGTATTTCAAAGATATGCGGTCATCGATCGACTGCTGCACAGTAATAGCATGCCTCGCAGTGCCTTAGCGCGGTCACCATTGTTTCGGTACATCACGGGTAGTGTGGCACGTCGAACTTTCCAACGACAGGCGCTCTCGACGCCATTCGATGAAAACGTATATTTCTGATTCGGAGAGAAGTTCCCGAGAGACACGTCGCGCGAATTATTTATCACGATCGATTGGTAATTGATTTGCGTCAAGAATAATATATACGTGCCTTCCTAGTCCGTAAATTCAATAAGCTCTTTCCTCAATCTGGAAGGAAGAACACAGAAATCCCTTTCGGATTGCTCTGAAAGCACATACGTGGACCTGTTTTAAAGAGAATGCGTTTGAGAAATATTCTAATTATTACTATTATTCTCTTATGAAAAACAAACACTTATTGTGAGAACACGTAATGTTGAAATAACGCACAAATCACACGACACGAGAGATTTATCGTCATTTCCGTAGCAAAGGTTAGGAAGTAGAATGCGTGTTAAAAAATATATCCCCGTGATAATAATTTATTAAAATAACCATTAAAACGCGCGGCGCATGTAGATTAAATTTGGATTCGAGTATTTTCTCGGTAAGTTTACAGATTCGTTCCTGTGTTACATGCTGAGCGTCCGCGTTTCTCACGCCATCGCCAGGCGACCTGAAATCGTGGCCAAAATTCGAAACATCAAATGATTGGACTATAAAGTTTGACGCGGGGGTTTCCGTGGGGTTTTCGGGATTGCTGATTACGAATTTGTGGTCCAAATTACAAAATTCAAAATGGTGGATTCAACATGGCTGCGAAAAGTAAGATACGTCGACGGATTCGGCTACAAATGTTTACTCGGGGGGTTTTGAGGTCGCTGATTACGAATTTTTGATCAAAATTACAAAATTCAAAATAGCGGATTCAATATGGCGGCGAAAAGTGAGATACATCGACGGATTCGGCTATAAAGGTTTACTCGGAGGTTTTTGAGATCGCTGATTACGAATATGATATCTAAATTTAGAAATTCATAGTTATAATCGTAGTTATATTAAAAATAATTTATTATTGCATTGAAACACCTGCGATTTGCCTACGATAATTGTAGTTTCCAGGGTCTTCCGTGTGGAGGATGTAGTGTGATTTCAGACCGAGGATCCTCATCCAGACTGGGATGAGGATAAGTCCTGAGGAAAGATGACCCTTAGAGACTTTGTACTCATCGTACATACAATGGGATCTATAGAATCGATTGATCTAGGGAACAAATCTTCAAGATTATTTCACTACTTTTTCTGTTATGATATTAGCAGGACTTCCTATAATTTTTACCTTCTTAAGGCTAATATGTCGCATATAAAAACCTGAGGCAACTCGATCGTTACAAGGAATGCGGTGGACTTTGTTCCGTATGCAGCACTGAATATAGACTGCATATAGATAAGGTATATTTCAAATAGTTGTATTTAAAATAAAGTATTTGAGAAACAATTTTAATATACAGTTTTTGTTGGTATTTTTGCATTAACCACTTCGCTGGCAGAGAAAATCAGTATCAACTGAATCAAAAATGGTGACATCAAAATGTTGCTTGATTTTTATAAAAAGTACTAAAGTACTTTTCGAGTCGCTGAATACGAATTTGAGATCAAAATTTGAAGGTTCAAATTGACAAAACTAATTTCAGATGCGAAATCAGTGACCTTAAAAACCTCCGAGTACCGAGTTTCATCCAGAACAAGTCACTTTTCTATTTGATCCGCCATATTGGACCCGCCATCTTGAATTTGAAATCTAACCTCAGATTCAAGAGCAGCGATCCCAAAAATTCCCGAATACCAGGTTATATTAAAATCAAGTCACTTTTCGCATTTTGGTTCGCCATAAATTCCGCCATTTTAAATTTTCAAATTTCGAGTTCACATTCGAAATCAGCGACCCCAAAAACCCCTGGATACTGAGTTTGATGAAAATCTTGCTAACGAGAAAGAAATAAAATGATGTGCGCATTAGTCCGTTAATGTCATTTTTGGTGCATCCTTTATTTGACGCAAAAATGCGTCAATGCTAGCGAAGTGGTTAATAAATGTTGAAACATCATTAAATAAATGAATTAGCTATAAAGAAATATGTAGATTTAATATATCTGGTGTAATTTATTCACCAATAAATTTTTCATGTACGTACGTTATCGATTCTCTCCGCATCTAAACTTCACACTAAAATGATAAAAATGAGGTAACAATGAAATCGCAATGATGCTGGGTCGCCTTGCGTTCAAAAGTGAATCTTTAACAATAATGGTTAAAATTTTCTAATTCTCTCATATATGTTCTCATACATGTTCTTGAGTGAGTGAGTGCAGTGAATATCTTCATGCAAGTAGAAGTGACGAAGTGCGCAAGGATGCGTTTTAAGGACGATATTTTTGAAAAAGATGAAAACGAACAGAAGTGAGCAGGTCAAGCTTAAAGTATACATTCTAACGAATAAAATGGTACCTCATTTTTTTCATTTCGGTGTGAAGTTTAGGTGTAAAGAGAATCGATAATGCGTATATATGCAAAATATCAATTTATATGAATAAATTATACCAGATATACGAAATCTACATATTTATTTATAGCTATTTCATTTATTTAGTGATGTTTCAACATTTATTAATGCAAAAATACCAACAAAAACTGTATATTATGTAATTATTTAAAAATACATTAGTTAATGTATTATACTTCCTCTTATTGATTTTGTGTAGTTTTCTAAGTTCAGAATACCGTACAATGATCTTAATTGATGAATATACATGTCGGTTTTTAAATACTCTGAAGTATCGACAAAATGATAAACAGTTTCTTTTATTTAAATTTTATTTCAATACTTAGTTTTTGGCCACGATTTTGAGTTGTCTGGCCCATTGTGCATCGATCACGAGAACAGTCGTTCGTGGGCTGAACGCTTCTCGATATCGTAATACTTTCGACCGTGGAACGTCCAGGCTCAGCTCGGCACAGACCATCGATACTTGAAGGCACTCTCTCTTTCTCTTACATGGTAATTACAAACGATAGATCTATTTACGTTAGAAAAAATAACGCCGCAAACTCTTTTTTTCTCGCTGGCACGCAAGCGAACGAGCGAAAGTGTATTGAGGAGGACTCTTGAAAAATCGCATGTTCGAGCGAGAAATTCTTCACGCGTCTGTCGCAACAATCGGCAACATCGTCAAGGAATTCATAACGTTTTGCTTCGGACACCCCCGGACACTCTCGTTGAACAACATCGTCTCTCGCCTTACATACATTACACAGTACGTTCCGATCGATGGCTGGATCCGTGAAGATCGATCGGCAGAACGCCGATTCGTCCTTCGACCCGACCGTCGATTTCAGCCAAGACGCTATCCTTATCGTCACCGTCAATCGTTCCTTAAACTTCCCACGAATTTCCCCGGTGCTGGATCCCCTTCAACCGTCAGATTCCTCAGCACTGGCGAAACTTGGCACCGTTAGAAAGTCATTAAGTGGTTATTCAGGTCGATCCCTAACTGTAGGGATGTAACGACGAGTCGTTCGCGTTTACGACCTCCTGCTGCTGCGTCGTCGGCGACGATGTCGTGGACGACGTGAAGGCGCTCGACAAGGCCTCGACGATGTTCTCGGTCACCTTGTCGATCGCGCCCGCGAGGACGGTCGTCTCGTCGTGGGAGTGCCGGTGGCTGGGATGATCTTCCAGCCTGTGCTCCTTCTCGTGGTCGTGGTCATGGTCGTGATGATCGTGCCCGTGCCCGTGGTCGGACGCGGGGCTGGGGCTACCGTGCGAATGCGAATGCGAATGAGCGGCTGTAAGAAGAAGGTAATCGTCCGTGAGATTGTTTGTGGGATTTCTTGAACGAGAGAAATCAGATTGGCGAGAGCAATCGCGGCGTCTTATGCGCAAGACGCGAGATGCAATGGAAAAGGTAGAATTGAAAGGGATTAGAGTCAGTGAATCTATTTCTAATGACTCGTGCATTCCTTTCTAATCGACGTGAGCTCATTGTTGAGAACTAGTAATAGAACGTCTCTGTCGGACGCTCGTCGTTTGATCGCATTTGCCACACGGAGAAAAGATTAGAAATTCTAAAGCCCGATTTTCACATATCGACTTCAACTTGGTACTGAAATTGCACTCTGTGTCAGTTTAATTTGATTAATCAATTTGCAGTGAGTAATTTTATCCAGACGAGAAATTACTTTTCACTAGATATCGTGAGTTTGTCGATGTCATTGTGGGATAACTGCAAAAGAGTCCCTGATTTTCGACTTCAACTCGACGCGGAAATCGCGTTTTAAGTCACTTTATTTTAATCTATCCATTTCCAGTAGGTAATTCCCCAAATAGCAAGGCGACGTCGAAAGACGTCGCTAACGTCAATTATACGTCATTAATTCGCCATTTGACGTTATTACGTTTGCTGGATTGCGATCCCGAGATGAGAAATTAGCTTTCATAATTAGATATCATAACATTGTCAGCGTGAAACAATTGCAAAAGAGTTCCTGATTTTCTAGTGTTACTTTCAACTTGGCACGAAAATCGCGCTTTACATACGTCATCTTTACTTTGATCGATTAATTTGCAGTAGGTAATTTCTCAAATAGCAGGGTGACATATTAGTAACGTTCCTAACGTCAATTATATATCATTAACATTATTATCATTAACATGTCATTTAACATCATCGTGTTGGCTGATCGGGACGAGGAATTACCTTTCATTAGATATCATAACGAGTTGGCAATGTAGAATGATTACAAAAAAGAAGACGGTTTGTTTAAAGCGCGTCGTTACGGTAGCGTTCAGCATTATGATCCCAACTATCATTAGTCTCAAATAGCATCAATCAAAAATATTTAATTAGTGACAACAACGTGCTCGGTACAATTAAATAATCGAATAAAGAATTTTCTGAAGAAGATATCACGATTTTATAAACAGCGATATCGATCTGTTTTGTCTGTTCTTCTTACAAGGAATCCCACATAGGTGTTTAACTCCGATTTGGGTGAGCTTGAAATATATTGTAATTCAGAACAAAAGAAGAGACATGTATTTTTACGTGCCCAAGCGGATTTTTAGGGGGCAAAACACCCTTTTGAAAAAAATCGAGTTTTTCCTTTAGGAGCATATTTTGTCAAAAGTATAAGAGATAGAAAAAAAATTCTCTAGACAAAAATTAAATGGTTTTAGGAGTACTTTGCAATGACAAAATCAGATATTTGAAAGTGGCAAAGTGATGAAAGTATGTTGACAATCATAACATTTTTCAAATACCTGATTTTGTCATTGCAAAGTACTCCTAAAACCATTTAATTCTTGTCTAGAAAAATTTTTTCTATTTCTTATACTTTTAACGAAATATGCTTCTAAAGGAAAAAACCGATTTTTTCAAAGGGGTGTTTTACCTCCTAAAACAGACTGGGCACGTATGAAAGAAATAGTAAAGAAGAAATTTCTTCTTTTGGTCTGAATTACAATATATTTCAAACTCATTCAAATCGGAGCTAAACATCTATGCGGGGTTCCTTGTTAGATGAATTGCTTGAATTGGTGTAATATGTTAGAGCGAAACAAAACATATTTGTCTCGCTCTAATTTATTGCACCGGTGCTCAGATATACCAGTCAGAAGGTGTCTGTTTTAGCTTCGTGAGGTATTCGCGCGTTCGATCGCGCACCGTTAGTTCCGTCACGTGCTTTCGGCAGCCTCGTGATCGCCGCGCTAAATCCGCCAAATAGCTCAAACACTGAGCGATTTCGTCACGGAACGCGTCAAACGCCTGAGAAAGCGCTCGAAAGTCGGTCGGATGGTTCGTCTACGTGCGCATCCCCGCGGGTCATTGCCATGGGTGGAGAGAAAGCCCTCTCGACGGACGACGAGATCTCATACGAGATCGATTCGTCTTCGTGCCGACACGACGCGACGCCGGGCATTCGTCACGACAATGACGAGATGACGCTTCTCTCTTGACAGCCCTGCGCGGTATGTGAAAACGTGCGCCTCCGAAGAAGTGGGTTGATTCCGCGCGCAATTTGCCAATCATATCGCAGCCGGCGCGAGTTGTGTAAAAGTTCACGTCTCGCACAGCGAGCGTGTAGGAGTAACACGCGAGCTCGTGTTTTATACAAGGTAAATGCACCATTAACTGGTTAAGGAGCGTTTTATCTACATATACATGTATGCGCAGAATCTAATTTTGTGGAGTCTGATTTATGGATCCTCCTCTTTCTCTCCTCTTTCTCTCCTCTTACTCGTTTGTATTGGAGAAAGTATGATTAATGATATACTATATATTATATAATATAATTTTTATATTATTATTTTTTATATAATTATATAAAAAGTTATTATATGTTTATATAAAAGTTATTATAAATTATATAAAAGTTTTTATATAATTATTCTTTATATAATTATATAAATATTGTTTTTCTTATATAATTATATTGTTGTTTTTATATAATTATATAAATTTTGTTCTTAGATAGCATGTAAATGTTTTTGAAACGTTTTACAAACGGTTATATGAAACGTTACATTGCTTAGAAAACGTATGTGTAACCAATATGCACAATGCCTTCTAGAATGTAATGACGCCCAATAAAAGTATTTTATTATTATTATTATTATTATTATTTTATATATATATATATATATAAAATATTATAATTTATATATATATTAATATATATATATATATATAATATTATATATAATATTATAATTTATATATATATATATATATTATAATATTATATATAATATTATATATATATATATTAATATATATATAAATTATAATATTTTATATATATATATATATATAAAATAATAATAATAATAATAATAATAAAATACTTTTATTGGGCGTCATTACGAGATCGATTCGTCGATTATTCGTCGAATAACATGATAATACACAATATGTACGGCAAATTGACCCAAATCTCGAAGAAGCATCGTGTCTTCGAGAGTCGCATCTTTCGAGCTCCTCACACTCTCGCGGAGAAGGTCGACATGGAATTAAGATTGCATAACAGGTGGCATATCCGCGTAGATAACCGTTATTACACCGTCTATTCTCCCACCTCCTGTTACTTTCTCGACGAAATGACACTCGCGTAATCCGTCTAGTGTTATTGGATATCGGACGCCGCCGAGGTAATGCGTATCATTCACGTGCGAATTAATGCGACTCGCACACTGACGTCGAGTTACGTCGCGTTACATCGCGTCATTGACATTTGAATTAGGTCTCGTCTTCCTTATAAAAATTTCGTTTGATTGACGAATTAACGATTAGTGAGGCGACAAACCCTATCTTAAAGTGTAAACAAGTATTTCCTCAGAATCTTTCGCGCAAGTGAAGTATTTTGATTTATTATCGTACTCGACTTTGACCGGTACTTTATACAGTTTAACGTCACATGTTTTTCTTGACCTCAGCATACGTGAGAAATAAATCGGCTCTCGCTTAAAGGTAGGAGCAAACGTTCGTTGGTGTTGCAGAACACGCGACGAAAGTGTGTTGACGAAAGTTCGGATAACTTCTCCGTTTGTGCCAGAATTCACGTTCTATTTTTAACTGACTTGATAAACGGTGATTACTAGGAAGAAATAAACAACACGAATTTATCGGCTGGTGTTGTCTTGAAATTAATGAATCTTTCAGTTCCGCGTACTGTATGTATGTGTATGTTGACAGAAACGAATTATTACTTTCACTGCAAAAATCATAGTCATTTTCGAGGCCAATTATATCTTTTACGTTATTGCAACAATAATAAAGTAGTGATTTGCATATGATGTTATTGTCAACAATCCTATAGCATATGGAGAAATATTGTAGTAGAAATGGCAACACAATTTTTGGAATCTTGGACCATATAGAATTATGACCGAGATTGCTATTGTATAATGCTTGAAGATTAACATACTATAAAATACTATATGTACATATATGTGTTTAAAAGTGTTTACGCATTTTTGATTTTTTTACTACAAAATTACTTGGATGTAATTACTCGAATGTTCTTTATATCATTTATCAGTAAAGTCCAATTGACTATTTCTGTAGTAAGTTACATTATAATTTCATTATAGTCACAATATTTTTCCCAAGTAGCATTTGCTATAAATTTCTTTAATGATTTCATCATGTAATCATCTAATCGTATAGTCGCGTAATCTCCCGTATGTATACACACACGTCTCCCGTACAGACGCACTCATGAAATCTGATTGCGATATATCGACTTGTTCTTACGATAAGATCAGCTGTTCGCGCGTCATTAAGCTCTTTAAGTCGGAATATCCCGACGAAAACACTACTTCGCTCGCACGCGACGAGAATTTTGCCATAATTGGCCCTCGGTTCGCTCTGACCCTGACTTTTCGGTCGTTGTAACTTGGCGTTTCGCGGAGCAAGATCGATAGATTGAACGAGTAAGAGAGGTAACACGTGGGGTGTATCAAGGGCGTACCTGTAATAGGTTTGCACCGAGACGGACGATCAGCCAGGTCAGGAGAACTCCTGCCAAAACCGGCTTATTGCGAGGTAACCATTTCGTACGGCCAGCTGAACTGGAATGGGTTACATAACGAGAAGATGTTTGTACGCGGGTTTCCGTGATTTACAGTGTGGAGGGAAGACTAAACGATTATTCAAACGACTGAAAAATTAATGAGCGCTAACTCGACGCTCCTCGTCGTAGCAAGATGGACTTCGAATTCTGAAAAATTCAGAACTCCTCAAAAGTTCTTATCAGCCTCCAAATTCAGAAAAACAAATCTCCAAAATTACTTAAAAGTTTCCAATATTAATGACGCGTACAAATACACGTGCTGATAGATGAACGGACTGGACAACAAGTGGAGGTGTAGAAAATCAACGAAGAGACGATCCTTTTGGAACCTTAAAGGATTGTCTACAATACTGTAATTACATCTTACAGTCGCAACACTAATTTGTAAGCCTGTTTTCTTCACGTAAACCCGTGAAAAATGAAAAGTTTTATTGAACCTGTCAATGAAACTTTCCACTTTTCTTAAATTCACGCGAGGGAAACAGATGATCGATTCATTAACGCTACGTCTTTAAAACATAACTACGAGCGCATTGTAGACGACCCTTAATGGAGCTCATGGGAGGACTTTCATCCTCGACAAAGGAAAAAGGCACGAGCGTTGTTTACGCGCGATTCGTCGGCGACATGCGGAAATTCCCCGCGGTCACGCGAAGGGAAACGACAGGCGGACACGAAGGACACGCAGCGGACGATAATGCGTTCATCCGGCATCGGTATCGCCGGTCACGATACGCTCCGATGCGCTAGAGACATGGCCTCGTCTTCCGGGAAACACTCACTGACGATCTGCAGGCCCAGCATCAGCGTGAAGCCGACGATGATCGCGACGAGTTGCAGCAGGCCGCTCTTCTCGTTCGCCCTCTCCCTGGCTAGCACCTCGAAGAACACCACGTAGAGCAAGGTGCCGGCCGCCATGCCCTGAAGTATAGTCGGCGTGGGCCCCAGGTTCTCGCTGTCGTTCTTGAAGTGGCCCAACGCGAGTCCCACGGCGATTCCGATCGGCGTCACCATGGAGAATATCGATAGATAGGCGAGGGTGGTCCTGGTGGAGGCACCGGCCGCGTAGAGCTCCATCCCGACGCAGAAGGAGATCACCAGCTTGTGCGTGGCGATCGCAGCGGCCAGATACACCACCGAGCTGATGGACGGCTCCAGACCCACCGCCAGGCCCTCGAATATCGCATGGAAGGACAGGGCTAACACGGTCAGCAGACCTTGCACCGACGTGTTCTGCGTCAATAACGCGCCGTGCTGGTGGCCATGCTCGTGATGCTTGAAGCGCGGGTAGCTTAGCTCAGGAACCGCCAGCTCCGGATCAGACGCCTTCTCGACGTCCTGATGTCTCATGTTCAAGCTGGCGGGTGACAAGACGAATATAGCCGGCAAGACCTTGTCGTCCTTGGCCGTTTGATCAGCGAGGTCGTTGGGATGGAGTCTCGGTCGCTCCACTGCTTCCGCACGCTCCTCATTTTCCTCGGGATCGTCAGTGTCCTTCCAGGTGGATCTGGTCGTGGACATCGTGGTGATCGAGCCGTTCGTCACCGCGGCCGTCGACGGGCCCGTCTGACTGTTGTTGCATCTGCGCACCGACACGGTCCTGTAGAGCAACGCCTCAGACGAGTCGGGCTTGCTAGTGAGAGCGGCGTGCACCGCCTCCTCGACCAGGTACACGAGGAAAAAGCCGCCGCAGAAGAGCAGCTCGGCCAGGCTCAAGGTGCCCAAGGTGGGCAGCTGGCCGTTGGACTGATGCCTCTCCACGCTGGCGCGCACTTCTGGCGCCAGGTGCAGGAACGTAGTGTACAGGAGTACCCCGCCGCCGAAGCAGAGTAACAGCGACTTCAGGAGACCCTAAGGACGATCACGTGATATTTTGGGACCCATCGGGCCTACGTCTGTTATGCGCGAGGTACGCTTGAGTGCTCGGAAGTTTGCAAAGCTTCCTCTACGGTACCTACAATCGCTTTTGGAATCGACTTTGTTTTCCTGGTGAGGACTTTTGACAAGATACGAAAGTGTGTCGATGTTCTCATTCCTTCTTGATCGTCATCATCGTAAACATCTCGATTGGACTGAGTCTCTCAGATTTAAACGCCTCAAATCAAAATATCTTAGGCTTCTACGGAATTCCCCCGCTACGGAATTCTGGATTGACGTCAGAAGCAAGAGAAAACGCATGTCCAAAATTCTTGCGTGCCATTTCCATATAAAAAGATATTTGTATGAAAGAACACTTCTGATCGCTTAAGTATACCCGTAAAATACCGAGAAAACTATATTTTTCCTTCGACAGCCGCAATAAATAGCCGTAAAAGTAACGTGACATGCAACCTTTCTCTTTAACCTATCTTTTCTCATGATTTTGACACGTTCACTTTACGACTATTTATTGATTATAGCTATTTGAAGTAGCTCCTTTCGTACAAATATGTTCTCATTTGAAAACGGCACGTAAGAATTTTCAGTGTATCGTTTTTCACTCGACGTTACAATCAAATATGGCCGCGGTAAATAGCTTTAAATTACAGGAAATGTGCAAAACGGCGGTATCTATTCTCGTTATTCTCTTTTTTGAAAGATGCTCTTCGTCATTGAATATTTACAGTTTGCGGATTATTGGTGCCTCGCCAGGAAAATCCTGTCGACCGATCTGTAAATACAGATTGGAAGTTATCCACCCGAGAGCACTTTGTACATTGATAAACGGCTGCTCCGGATGCATTATAATTAATACGTGATCGGTCAACTCTCATTATCGAGTGAAAACAAATATTTTTTGCGAACGTGGCTTATGGCGATCAAGTATTAATTCGTCTCGACTTTGTGCCACATCAATCCGCAACGCGTTAACAACTAAAATTAATGCGCGTGTCTCTCATAGATATCGTGCGTGCGAAACGATAGATAGTCAAGAATTCCGCAACGAGCGGGAAAACAATTCGATCAGCGCAAGGCTCGATCTACAACAGATGTAGTAAGCTTTCAGCCTTCTGCTCTAAGCCCTAAGTTGTGAGTTAGAGAATTGCCGAAATCATACCGATCTCCTAAATCGTACCTCACCAATTGTTTCATTATTATTGAATATGAATAACGAAACCATCTAAAGATACAAATGACAAATAAATAAACAATGCGAGAAATATAAACACAAAAATTGTCAGATTATATCTTATGTGCGTGCTACAAATATTAAAAAAAAATCAGTTACGATTTAGGAGGCCGGTACGGTTTCGGCAACTTCTGGTTGGATTTCTGGTGAAAGGCGTCTATTTCGTTGCCAAAGGTTGTAATGAAGTTCAAGGGACAATTCACACCTTGGCAGGAAAACAAGAAACAGAAAGGCAGAAGCCAATCAGAACTCGCGCTGGTAGAAAAGCAGAATATGTCGACTACCGGCTGACCACCAGCGCGAATTCTAATCGACTTCTGCCTTTCTTATTTTTTACTTTTCTGCTAAGATGCGAATTCTCCCTAAGGCTTGGGGATCGCAACGTCTGCAGTGCTTTTTGCAGAAAATCGAAATAAAATGGAGGAAAATGAAATGACCAGAAATGAGACGAAATTATACGTTCAGGGCAAAAAGCAAATTGCTAAAAGCTTACTACACCTATTGCAGGCCAGTCCTGGAAAAATTTTCTTCGTGACTTTAACGTTGACTCGACGGCCCTCTCTCTAACGATTTGGCGATTCAGTTGACACAGAACCGAGCTCTCCGGAGACACCGCGAATCGATGTGCACCGAGGACCTGCGGCCTATCCCTCGGACGTACTTGCGAGTCCGCGACGGGAGCGGAGTCGACGCTCGACGAAGACGCGTTAGACGCCGAAGTGGAAGTCGAGGCGCTGGAGTGATTGGAGACCGCGCGACGGCGTTTCTTCAGCTGCTTCGTCCTGTAAAGACCCACCATCAGTGGCAGAGCTCCCAACGCTAGAGAGCCGAAGCCGAGACCGATCATCGCGCCGATCTTCGCTATCAGGAGGATGCTGGACGTCGCTGAATCCTCCATCTCGCTGTTCGTGGTATCGTTCACGACGAGCAACGGGGATCTCGTGGATGATCAGGAGGTGAGTGATCTCTCGGTTATTTCTCAACAATTTCACGATCGCGCAATACGCCAAGTAGAGGCGCGGTGTTTCCGTCTCGAGTCCGTCTCACGATGTTACGTTATCTTGTCACTTGGTCGCTTTCTCTCTCGCGCACTCCCGTCGACGATCAAACTCATCTCGTAATCTCGCGGTGATCCCGACTGTCGGGGCGGCGTTGCGTCGGAAGGTCGAGAGGCGGTTCCCGCCTTCGAAGGCTCATGTCCCCTCACCGGGAACACCACGGACGATTCGCCGGTGTTTCTGCCGCCGGTCTCGTCGCGGCTGGAAGCAGCAGCTCCGAACCGCGAAGCGACGAACTGCGAAGAGCGAGAAGCAGCACGCGCCGCGACGACTGATCGGACACTCCGGTCTGGATGGGAACTCGGCTCGGTCGGACCCCTCGCCGCCTCGTCTTACATAGTCCAAGCCGAACCGTTTCCTGCCCACTCCCGGTCGCTACAGTCATCCTTCTCCAGCGACCACCCGGTAGCGTGCAAACTCTCTCTAGCTCGCTTGCACCGCGACTGATCGTCCCTCAGTGGCGTAACTAACGACCTCGCGAACCGTCCTCTGGGAGGTGGGAAGGAAGCCCTCCCCGTCTTATCGGGCTCGGCAGGAAAAGTTTGGGGAAAAAGAGAGAAAGGGAGAGAAGGGGTACGTGAAACGCGTGAGCGCGATAATAGAGAGAAAGGAAGGACGAAAGGGGAAAGTATCGAACAAAGGAGGAGCTCTCGACAACGTTATTGTTAAATCCCGTCGTGAACTTGTCGTTAGTGTTGCAAATTGAAGAGCGCCCTGAAACTCACCCTTAGGTTCCACGCTCCCTCTCGTTCCTCGCGCAGTGAGGCACTTTCGACACTAATTACATCACTGCCTCCACTTTGTGCCCGACGAAGAGCTCATGACATTTCCTCTCTTTCTTTCTTGTGTATGTACACGTGCACGCGTAAACGAGAGAGGTCGACAACGTGAAAAGTTCATGTAGGGGCACGCGTGCAAGCATTGTGGCTCTCTTATGTTTGGTAACAATGTCACGAGTGACATCTGCGTGCGTGTCGGACTGTACGGGATATGAATTCTCGAGTGTAACGGTACGTCGAAGAAAAAAAAACGAATAGGGAGAAGTTCAGTGGTGGGACTACGTTAAAATAATAGCAAAGAAAATAATAGAAAGAAGTTTCCTGTCTGTACAATCACGTACGACAACTCGACGAATCGTTGCACGTGATTGTGCAGACAGGAAATTTTTTTCCATTTCTTCGTCTATTTTTTACATAGTTCTATCACAGATATTTCAGGCTCAGGAAATTAGGGCTCTTCGAGTTCTAATTTCGAAGATCGAGTTCCGATCGATGCGATTTCCTAGAAAAGAAGTCTAAATTTGTTTTTAATTCTCCTTGACTCATGTGATTTTCCAATACTCAAAGACTCATGTCCTCAACTCTCTTTTATCGATGAGGATGCTTTTAAATGTGGTTCTAAGTCAATAATTGGTTTAATAATGATAATGATTAACCATTAATGTATTAATGAAAGAGAGTTTAAAATAAGAACCGAAGAGTTGCAACACTCGGTCTGTGATTTTTAAATAATGAAAATACACACATCAGAAGTCGATTTTCAACATGAACTTTGGTTTCTAATTACGAATTCTCACACTCGATGACGTTTATGCACTGAGAGAAAGAAATGGATAATCTAACTAAAATTATCGTTATTTTTTGCCTCAGCAATATTTTTTGGTTGCTCTAACAGGAGAATGATAACAGTAACATGCGCATAAAGTTATTGTCGCTTACATTATAGTAGAATTTAATTTAAAAAAATAGTTTTCTTGGCCACACATAATTTATAGTAATTATTTTTCTACATGACTGTAGTTACGAATACCAAAAATTGTTTTTCTCAGTGTGGTTTCGAAGAAGCGTCGATTTTGGGTCTCAGTTTGAGAGATCGCTATCCTATTTCCCGAGGCAAGGGAATTAATTCGCATAAACGAACAGGATTGAGATACGGTTGTGAAAAGGTAAGAGCGAACATTGCACTTGCGTTCGTTGCCTTTCCAAGGCGGAATTTTGCAATATGAGCCACCGCGTGCACTCGCGCCTGCCGGATGACTATTTGAACCGACACCTATCGCACTTTCACCCTTTTCGAGCGAAAGGATATCGCGGCTTCGACCGCTCTATCGAGCGCGACAAAAGTCGTAAAGCTCAAAAAGCCGTGAATACGTCGTAAAGCCGCCGGATGAACGTGCCCGTTGTTCTGCGTCGTCAGTTACGTCGATAACAAAATAATCAATCCGTTACATTCACTTTCGCGTCAGTTCCTTTTCTCGCTTTTTCCCTCCCCCCGTTCTCGCGATCGCTAATAACAAGCAGTGCGCGAAGGCATGAAGGATAAGCTCGAGTCACGCCCGAAGAAAAAGAAGATAGAAAAACTCGTACGAAGTGAGTCACGAATGTGCAGCGGGCATGTCGGTTTTTCGCGTCGTTCGCGTTTTCTGGTTATTGTCGAGAGCGTTCGAAAGGCCCGGCACGGCGGGGAAATTCTTCCGCGGGACGGAATCATGCCGCGTGAATCATCGGCAGGATGTCCTTTGCTTCACGCGCTACATTCTCTTTTCTCTCCCACACGCGCATTCTCTCCCACCTGTACGGAGATCCGCCGCGTCAAACGCTGACCTCGGCGAGCCATCGCTTATTCTCCACCTTCGATTTACATACGCATGTACGTCGGCTGCTCCGACAGGTGACTGTACAGAGCGATTTATCGCTCGCCGACACGACAGTCGATCATTCGTTCGTCCATCTCGACAAACTTTCGGCTAGCAGATGCTAGTTAGACAATATCGTTCTAGTTTAACACGTTTGACTGTGCCACCTGTGACTCACTGACGCTGTAATATTGCCGCGTCGTCTCACTGCTTTACGTCTAAAGGCCGATCTACATTAGTCGTAATCGTATCGTAACGTTGTGACATCGCAAAATTGTAGCATCGTAATGCTCGTGAGTGCTGACCAGAGTTAAAAATATCAATATATCAATATCAATAAATCAATATCAATAAAAATGTCAATTAAATTCGCCTCAATTTAATAATTGATTTGAGTAAGTAATTTCTAATTTAATTAATTGACGATTAATATAAGTCTATTCAATTAAAACTATTTTAATTGACCACTGACTTCAAGAAATCTAATTAAAAATCATTCAATTAACAAGTGATTTGAAGTAATTCAATTGAAAACTGTTGAATTAACGATTAAAACGACCAAAAGTAATTAAAGATTATTCGATTAACGATTGAACATAGTCAATATAATTAAAAGTTATTTATTTGATAATTGATATAAGCAATATATATATATATAAAAGCATATATTCAGCTCGGTTTGTTACCATGAGCAAATAATTACGGTTACAGTTTCGATTGACACATCGATTGGTCAATCGTCGTGCTTTTCGATTAAATTTGCTTATATCAATTGTCAATTAAATAATCCTTAGTTACATTGACTATGTTCAATCGTTAATCAAATAATCTTTAATTACTTTCACTCGTTTTAATCGTTAATTTAACAGCTTTTAATTGAATTCCTTTAAATCAATCGTTAATTAAATGATTTTTAATTAAATTTATTGAAGTCAGTGGTTAATTAAAATATTTTTAATTGAAAAGGCTTATATTAATCATCAATTAAATTCGATAATTAATTGAAAAAGTAATTAATTAATCGTAATTCTGGTGCTGATTGTCTACATAGCGTGTAGACAATCGTATATGTGGCTGGTATCGACCAATCAGAAATAATTAACAGTAGCGTACCGAAACAGAGATACATAGTACTGTTTGTTTGAAAATGGAAGAAAGAGTAACACAAAAGTATATGCTTTTAATGATGAGTATAATTACTTTTCGTGCTATATATATATATATATATATATATATATATATATATATATATATATATATATATAT